AAAAGTTTTAAGTTATTAGCCAATCAGGTTTTAGTTTAGATTGTGAGGTCTGGCACCAGCCAATGGAGATCGAACACAGCAGTAAGGAAGACCCCAAATGCATAAGGAATAAATATGTCTGCTTTCCTTTGTTCATTGTACTCTCATGGCAAGATGGCTAGCAAGGTACCTTCCTGCAGTCCAGGAAGTAACAACTGCGTTGCTGAAAAATCCTTTGTCTCAGTGCTAATTTTTCTTTGTGGCACTGAGCATCTATTTCCAGCAAAGGTAAGGATAGATGGTGTCCACTGCAGGAATAGCCAAGTCCTACTTGGGCCATGGGATTGGGAATGTGGAGCTCCCAGGGAGAAAACTGAGCCTCCTAGGGCCAGGCAGCATGTGCCAGGGAAAAGCCAGAGGGCTGGGGACCTTCAGGGAGGTGAGTGAATCGCCTCCTTGACTGTCCTTGACATTCTGCAACAACCATCATGGAACCTAAGAGGGGGGTTTTATTGAAAGTTGGTGAATCCCAAGGTCCAACCTATGGGGAACACATTTTAGGTAGGCAACCAAGTTTAAGAAAAACAGAGAAAATGAGTTAAAAAACAGTAAGGGGCAATGTGTTTCCAAATTACCTTTGTCATCAGCTTAAGCTAACCCTAACCCTAACCTACAGTGATTTCCCCTGAAGAACAGAGAACTCCTTTCTCCCTTGCCTGAGAATTCTGCTGGCTACTATTCATATGATTCAAAGTGTTCCCATTTCATGCCCATATAATATAACATAGTGCTTCTCAACGTGTGGTCTAGGGACTCCTGATGTCTCCAAAACTCTTACAGGGAATCCACCAAGTAAAAAATATTTGTATCATAATACCAAGATGTTATTTTGACTTCCATTCTCTCTGGAGTATACAGTGGAATATCTTCAAAGGCCACATTGAAATATCATAATATGTCTTTATAGTAGAATGATTTATAATCCTTTGGGTATATACCCAGTAATGGAATTTGCTGGATCAAATGGTATTTCTGGTTCTAGATCTTTGAGGAATCACCACACTGTCTTCCACAATGGTTGAACTAATTAACACTCCCACCAACAGTGTCAAAGTGTTCCTATTTCTCCACAGCCTTGCCAGTATCTGTTTCCTGATTTTTTAATAATCACCATTCTAACAGGTGTGAGATGGTATCTCACTGTGGTTTTGACTTGCATTTCTCTAATGGCCAGTGATGATAAGGCACGTATACACCATGGAACACTATGCAGTCTTAAAGAAGAATGAGTTCATGTCCTTTGCAGGGACATGAATGAAGCTGGAAACCATCATTTGCAGCAAACTAACACCGGAACAGAAAACCAAACACTGCATATTCTCACTCATAAATGGGAGTTGAACAATGAGAACATGTGGACACAGGGAGGGGAACATCACACATCAGAGCCTGTCGGGAGGTGGAGAGCAGGGAGGGGGAGAGCATTAGGACAAATAGCTAATGTATGCGGGGCTTAAAACCTAGAAGATGGGTTGACAGGTGCAACAAACCACCATGGCACATGTATACCTATGTAACAAACCTGCACGTTCTGCACATGTATCTCAGAACTTAAAGTAAAATTTTTTTTTAAAGTTAATGGATTTTCCCTTTGATTCAGTAAGACCGACTTTGGGAAAGTCCTTATCTCTTTTCAGGGAACAAACTGCAGAGCTGCAGTGTCCAGAGTTTGACTCTAATATGGTAGAGATGGGCTGGGGCAAGGAAGCTGTCAGGGATTCTGGGGATACTGGTAGCAAAGACGCTATCTCGATTGCTCCTATGAGTTTTTTCCTAATTAACTGAACATTCACAATGGTCCAGGCACCTTGCTGAATGATTAAGGAGGCTGGGGCAGGAGAACTGCACAATCACTTGAACCCGGGAGGCAGAGGTTGCTGTGAACTAAGATCGTGCCGCTGCACTCCAACCTAGGTGACAGGTGACAGAGTGAGTATCCATTTCAAAAAAAAAAAAAGAGAGAGAGAGAGAAAAGAGCAAAAGACTGTTATTATCACCATTAGAATAAGAGACTGTTGGCCAGGCACAGTGGCTCATGCCTGTAATCCCAGCACTTTGGAAGGCTGAGACAGGTGGATCACAAGGTCAGCAGGTAGAGACCATCCTGGTTAACTTGGTGAAACCCCATCTCTACTAAAAATACAAAAAATTAGCTGGTCATGGTGGTGCGTGCCTGTAGTCCCAGCTACTTGGGAGACTGAGGCAGGAGAATCGCTTGAACCCAGGAGGTGGAGGTTGCAGTGAGCCCAGATGGTGCCATTGTACTCCAGCCTGGGTGACACAGTGAGACTCTGTCTCAAAAAAAAAAAGATAAAAGATAAAAGACTGTTATTATCACCATTTTATAGATAATATGATTGAGGAACAGGGAGGTTGTGTGTCTTGCCCAGGGCCACACAGCTAGCAAATTGTGGAGCTGGCATTGAAACTGAGGTACTTTGTGTCTACTATACTATACTGCCTCACAGCTAAAGCCCAAGTAGCTGTGGCTGCTAGGGGTGTGGGAGTCTAAGAAAGGACTGAATTGGGGTTGCTGTAGGTGCTGTGGAGGGGAGTGGGTCTTACCTGAGCGAGGTCAGCCTGCAGCCAGCATAGAGGGAACCAATACTGCTGTTCTGGAACAAAGGCTTGAGCTGGGAAGGAATGAGAGAGAGATGAGGAGGAGGAGGAGGGGCCAAGACTTTGGAGGAGTGGGGATTGGTTGGGGAGGCTCTCACCAGCTGCTGCAGGATCTTCTCAGTGGCATTGAATATTTCAGAGCCCGGGAACACCATGTCCTTCATGTATTGCAGGTTGGTAATGGTGAAGTTGACAGTGAAAGGCATCAACAAAGGAATGTCAGCTGCAGAAAGGGAGGGCAAGAAGAGACCAGTCTTAGGCCCTGGGCAGTGAGGCACGGGAGGAAAGTTTCTGAGGACACATTTTAACTCCAGTGTTCAGTTGGGGTCCAGGCCGAGCCATCCTACTTGAAATTCCTTATGTAGCAGTCACTTTCTGAGACCTTCCTATGTGGGCTGACCAACGATTCCAGTTTGTTCAGGGCTGTATGGGCTGAGACGGCCGGGTGCGGTGGCTTACATCTGTAATCCCAGCACTTTGGGAGGCTGAGTTGGGCAGATCATGAGGTCAAGAGATGGAGACCATCCTGGCCAACATGGTGAAACCCCATCTCTTCTAAAAATACAAAGATTAGCTGGGTATGGTGGCACGAGCCTGTAGTCCCAGCTGCTCAGGAGGCTGAGTCAGGAGAATCGCTTGAATGTGGGAGGTGGAGGTTGCAGTGAGCAGAGATCACGCCACTGCACTCAAACCTGATGACAGAGTGAGACTCCATCTCATAAAAAGAAAGTGGGACAGGGCCAGATGCAGTGACTCATGCCTGTGATCCCAGCACTTTGGCTGGCTGAGGTGGGTGGATCACCTGAGGTTAGGAGTTTGAGAGCAGCCTGCCCAACATCGTGAAACCTTGTCTCTACTGAAAACACAAAAAATTAGCCAGGCATGGTGGCATACACCTGTAGTCTCAGCTACCCAGGAGGCAGAAGCAGAAGAATTGTTGGAACCCTGGAGGCAGAGGTCCAGAGGTCGCAGTGAGCCAAGATTGCACCACTGCACTCCAGCCTGGGCAAGAGGGCAAGACTCTCTCTCAAAAAAAAAAAAAACTAAACAAAACAGAAAGTTACCAGGGACTAGGAAGAATGGGAAATTATTGCTTTATGGGTACAGAGTTCCTGTTTGGGGTGATAAAGTTTTGAAAACCGATAGTGGTGAGGATTGCACAACAATATGAATGTATTAATACTCCTGAATCGTACACTTAAAATGGTTTAAATGGCAGATTTTATATTATTTATATTTTACCACAATAAAAAAGTTATTCTTACCTGTTCTTGAGGTCACACTCTCAGAGGCCAAGGTGGAGATCCCAGGTGTGGTCAGAGGGGCAAAGGAGCTTCCAGTCAGTGTATTGAAGGTGGTCGTGGTCTTGGCCACAGTGGAACTGGAACCTGTGGTGGTCTCAACTGTTGTCGTTCTCAAGATAGTGGTTGGACTCACTCCTTCTCCATGACTGGTTTTAGGTGATGTTGTTGTCTCTGATGGTATCAAGGTCATAGTGGTACCTGCGACAGTCCTGGAAAATTCTGGGTGTCCAAGTGAAGTTACAGATGGTGAGGTTCCTGTGTGCCAGGAGGTCACAGTTTGGGGCTTACCAGTTGTTATAGAGGCACTGGGAAGCCCAGAGACAGCAGGGGAAATGCTCAGAGTGAGAGTGCTGGTCTCTGCTGAAGAGCTGGTGCTCAACAAGCCTGTAGTCTCTAATAAGCCAAGGGAAAGAGTCGAAGTCGGAATTGTGCTGCTGGTTTCTGTCCCAGGATGGGTGGAAAGTGAGGCTGTTTTTGCAGAAACACCAGGTGAAGCAGATGGATTCAGATCAACTCTGCTGGTTCCAGTTACAAGTAGGGTGAAGAGAGAGGATGCTGTCTGAGTTGGAAGGGCTGAACTAGGCTGAGTTGGAAGAGCTGTACTAGGCTCTGCACCAGGTCTAATGGATAGTGAGGGTGTGGACTCTGATACTTGAGGAAACACAGTTGAAGCAGGAAATGTGTTTGTCTCTGTGCCAGGATGGGTGATCAATAAGGCGGTGGTCTCTGGCATACCAGGAGAATGAGTCAAAGTTGGAATAGTTGTACTGGTTGCAGCCCCAGAACTAGTGATCGGTGAAGTCACCATCTCTGGTACACCAGGTGAGACCATTGTTGTCAGCACAGCTGAACTGGCTTCTGTCCCAGGACTGGTGGCCATTAAAAGTGTGGCATCTGGTCTACTGTGGGAAAAACTAGGGGTTGTTCTGGAAATGGGTGTGCTGGTCTGTGCAGGATGAGTGACCCAGGAAGCTGTTGTATCTGGCTCACTAGAGGGAACAGTCAGAGTTGGAACAGTGGAGCCAGTCTGTGCCCCAGGATGGGTAATCAGTGAGGCTGTGGTCTCTGGTTCACCAAGACAAGGAGTCAACATTGGAATAGCTGCACTAGTGGCTGTTGCAGAACTTGTGACCTGTGAGGTCACTACCCCTGGTGAGATGGTTGTAGTTGGAACAACTGACCTGGCTTCTGCTCTAGGACTGGTGGCCATTGAGGGCTTCGTGTCTGCTCCACTATGGGAAAAGTTGGCAGTTGTCCTAGGAACCGTTGTGCTGGTCTCTGCAGGATGAGCGAACCATGTGGCTGTAGCCTCTGGTGCATATGGGGTCTCAGTCAATGTAGGGAAAATTGTACTGGTGTCTGCCCCAGAACTATGGAGCAGTGAGGTCACCAGATCTGACATGCCAGGTGAGACAGCTGTGGTTGAAACAGCTGAACTGGCTTCTGGCCCAGGACTGGTGGTCGCAACTGGGAGTGTGGTGTCTGACTCCCTATGGGAAAACTTGGGAGTTGTCCTGGGAACCATTGTGTTGGTCTCTGCAGGAGGAATGAGCTGTGTAGCTGTTGTCTCCGGTTCATATGGGGTCTCGGTCAGCACTGGGAACGTTGTAGTGCTGTCTGTCCCAGAAGTAGTGACCAGTGAGGTCAGTGTATCTGATACACCAGGTGAGAGAGTTGTTGCTGGAATGGCTGAAGTGACTTCTGCACCAGGACTGGTGACCATGAAAGGTGTCGTGTCTGATTCACTAGGGGGAAAATTGGGGGTTATTCTGGAAACAGGTGTGCTGGCCTCTGCAGAATGAGTGACCTGCCAGGCTGCTGTATCTGGCTTACCGGGAGAAACAGTCATAGCTGGGGAAGCTGAACTGGCTTCTGTCCAAGAATGGATGAGCCATGAGGCTGTTGTCTCTGATTCATGTCGGTAATCAGTTTGAGTTGGAAAAATTGTACTGGCCTCTGTGTCAGAACTAGTGATCAGTGAGGTCAGCATCTTTGATGCACTAGGGGAGACAGTCAGAGTTGGGATGGCTGAACTCGCGTGTGTCTCAGAATAGGTGATAAATGAGGTTGTGGTCTCTGGTTCACCAGGAGAAAGTGTCACAGTTGGAATACTTATACTGGTGTCTGTCCCAGAACTAGCGACCTGTGAGGTCACCATATCTGGTACATTAGGTGAGACAGTTATTGTTGGAAAAGCTGAACTGGCTTCTGCCCCAGGGCTGGTGGCTATTGAGGGTGTGGTGTCTGGTTCACTGTGAGAAAAATTAGAGGTTGTCCTGGGAACTGTTGTGCTGGTGACTGCAGGATGAGTAACCCATGAGGCTGTTGCCTCTGATTCATGTGGAAACTCAGACACTGTTGGAAAAGTTGCACTGGTGTCTGTCCCAGAGCTAGTGACCAGTGAAGTCAGCATACGTGGTATACCAGGTGAGATAGTTGTTGAAATGGCTGAGCTGGATTCTGCCTCAGGACTGGTGATTGTTGAAGGGATAGAGTCTGATTCATTATGGAAAAAGCTTGGGGTTGTCCTGGGAACAGTTGAGCTATTCTCTGCAGGATAGGTGACAAATGAGATCGTTGTAAATGGCTCACCAGTGGAGACAGTCTTACTGTAAACAGAGCTTACTTCTGTCCCAGGATGAGTGACCCATGAGGCTGTGTTCTCTGGTGGACCTGAGGCAACAGTTAGATTTGGAAACACACTGGTCTCTGACTCGGAACTAGTGACCAGTGAAGTCACCAGCCCTTGTACAGTAGGGGAGACAGCTAAAGTTGGAATGGCTGAAATTGTCTTTGCCTCAGAATGGGTGATCAATGAAGGTGTGGTCTCTGGTTCACCAGAAGAAATAGTCAGAGTTGGAATAATTGTACTGGTTACTGCACTAGAACTAGTGACCAGAGAGGTCACCACTCTTGGTACCTCAGATGAAACAGCTGGAACAGCTGAGCTGGCTTCTGCCCCATGACTGGTGGCCATTGAAGGTGTGGTCTCTGGTTCACCAGGAGAAAGAGTCAGAGTTGGAATAGTTGTGCTGGTCATTGCCCTAGAACTAGTGACCATAGAGGTGACCACTCCTGGCACCCCATGTGAAACAGTTGGAGTTGGAACAGCTGAGCTGGCTTCTGCCCCATGACTGCTGGCCATTGAAGGTATAGTCTTTTGTTCACCAGGAGAAAGAGTTAGAATTGGAATAGTTGTGCTGGTCACTGCCATAGAACTAGTGACCAGGGGGGTTACCACTTCTGGTACCTCAGGTGAAATAGTTGGATTTGGAACAGCTGAGCTGGCTTCTGCCCCATGACTGGTGGCCATTGAAGGTATGGTCTCTGGTTCACCAGGAGAACGAGTTAGAGTTGGAATAGTTGTACTGGTCGCCGCCACAGAACTAGTGACCAAAGAGGTCACCACTCCTGGTACCCCAGGTGAAACAGTTGGAGTTGGAACAGCTGAGCTGGCTTCTGCCCCATGACTGGTAGTCATTGAAGGTGTAGTGTCTGGTTTACCAGGAGAAAGAGTCAGAATTGGAATAGTTGTACTGCTCACTGCTGTGGAACTAGTGACCAGAGGTGTCACCACTCCTGGTACCTCAGGTGAAACAGGTGGAGTTGGAACAGCTGAACTGGCTTCTGTCCCATGACTGGTGGTCATTGAAGGTATGGTGTCTAATTTACTATGGAAAATAATGGAAGCTGTCCAGGGAACTGTTGGGCTGGTCTGTGCAGGATGAGTGACCAATGAAACTGTTGTAGCTGGTTCACCAGGGGAGATGGTCAGAGCTGGATTAGTTGCACTTGTCTCTGCCCCCAAACTGGTGACCACTGAAGTCACCATCCCTGATACTCCAGGTGAGATCGTTAAAGTTGGAATGCCCGAACTTGTCTGTCCTTCAGGATGGGTGACTAATGAGGCTGTGGTCTTTCGTTCACCAGGAGAAAGAGTCAAAGTTGGAATAGCCAAATTTCTGTCTGTCCCAGAACTAGTGACCTGTGAGGTCACCAGATCTGCTGCACCAGGTGAGATAGTCATAGTTGGAACGGCTGAACTGGTTTCTGCCCCAGGACTGGTGGCCACTGAAGGTGTGGCATCTGATTGATGATGGGGAAAATTGAGGATTGTTCTGGGAACTGTTGAGCTGGTCTCTGCATGATGAGTGAGCCATGTGGTTCTTGTCTCTGTTTCATGTGGGGACTTAGTTAGGTTTGGGAAAGTTGTACTCATATCTGTCCCAGAAATAGTGACCAGAGGTGTCAGTGCACCTGGTTCACTAAGTGAGATATTTGTTGGAATGGCTGAAGTGACTTCTGCCCCATGACTGGTGGCTGTGGAAGATACAGTGTCTGATTCACTGTGGAAAAAATCAGGAGTTGTCTTGGAAATAGTTGGGATGGTCTCTGCAGGATGGATAGCCCATGAGGTTGTTGTATCTGGCTCACTAGAAGAAACATCTAGAGTTTGAATAGCTGGACTTGTCTCTGCCCCAGAACTAGGAGCCAGTGAGGCTGTGGTCTCTGATTCTCTGTTGAACACAGATGGCGTTGTCCTGGGAACTGCTGTGCTGGTCTCTGCTCCCCAGCTGGTAGCCAATGAGGACGTCATTTCTGGAACATCTGGGGAAACATGTGGGCTTGTGATAATCATGTCTGTAGTGCTTGTGGTGGCCATTTGCATCGATGTATTGAGAGGAGTCAGTGTTCCCAAAGTAGGAGTATGGACTCTGGTGGTCAAGGTGGCTCTGGAAGTGGTCTTCAAAGCTGTGGTGGTGGTCTTCAGAGATGTGGTGGTGGTCTCCATTCTTTTTGTCCCTCCTGTGTGTAGTCCTATGAATCGGGGAATGAGCACACAATTTGGACAAAATGATTACACTTACTGGACTAGCAATAGCTTATTTATTCTCCATATGAGGAAAGGGAGAGAAGTTACCAGGATGTGCCTGGGATGCTTTTGGAATGGGAGAAAGAGATTGTGATTGGTACTCCCCTATCTTACCTTGGTCTGTAACTTGGTTGCATCTTTATCTATAACTCCTCCATGAATTCTTGACTGCAGTAATCTATTCCCTCTTCCCATGTGTTTCTGCACTGTCAGCCTCTGAGCCTTGCTCAAGCTCTTTTCTCTGCCTGAAGTACCCACTTCTTATCAGATTCCTTAAGTTCTGCCATTCTTGAAATCCAAATATGTGTGTGTGCACAGACATACATATATATGTGCATATATATATTGAGATGCAGTCTTGCTCTGGCACCCAGGCTGGAGTACAGTGGCATGATCTCAGCTCACTGCAACCTCTGCCTCCTGGGTTCAAGTGATTCTCTTGCCTCAGCCTCCCAAGGAGCTGGGATTACAGGTGCATGCCACCATGCCTGGCTAATTTTTATATTTTCAGTAGAGATGGGTTTTCACCATGTTGGTCAGACTGGTCTCAAACTCCTGACCTCGGGTGATCCACCCACCTTGGCCTCCCAAAGTGCTGAGATTACAGGTGTGAGCCACTGAGCCAAGCTCATAGTAAGTTTTTAACAAGCATTTAAAAAATTTAGCTAACGTGGACAAATTTGTGAGTATTTGAAGTTGGACAAAGTTCACTCACTCAGCATGCTATGAGGAGAAAGAGAAGTGGTAACATCCACCTGATAACCGTTAGACAAAGACCCAGTTCAGACAGGGAAACCTATGAGAGCCACACACAATTCTCTCTCTAAAGAATACAAGCATTTGCCGGGCGCGGTGGCTCAAGCCTGTAATCCCAGCACTTTGGGAGGCCGAGGCGGGTGGATCACGAGGTCAAGAGATCGAGACCACCCTGGTCAACACGGTGAAACCCTGTCTCTACTAAAACTACAAAAAAATTAGCTGGGCATGGTGGTGCGTGCCTGTAATCCCAGCTACTCAGGAGGCTGAGGCAGGAGAATTGCCTGAACCCAGGAGGCGGAGGTTGCGGTGAGCCGAGATCGCGCCATTGCACTCCAGCCTGGGTAACAAGAGCGAAACTCCGTCTCAAAAAAAAAAAGAATACAAGTATTTTGTCTCTCTGGAGTAGGAAACATGGTCACAAGTGGCATTACTGGGAGGTAAGCAAAGCTAAACCTACCTTTAGTACTGGCAGGTGATGTAGATGTCTGAGGGCTTTTGACTGGTCTTATGGTACCTCTGTGTGCTGCTTCATTGGGTATTTTTGTGATGCGCTCCACAATGCCATCGGTTCCTGCAGGTGAAGGTGGGGAGGAAAACTGGGGTAACTCATCTCATTCAGAAAAGCACTGTCTAAATTGATCCACTTCATTGGCCACAAACACTCCTCAAGTCCATCAGTGCAGACTGGAGCCAGGACTATATGCCGTAACTGGCCACACCCATCCATAGATCCATCTACCCATAAATTTGTCCATCCTTCCTTTCATTTGTCCCTAGATCTGATCACCTATTCTTCCATTTTTCTTCCCTTTATTCTTTCTTCCTACCACCCATACTTACTTTTGTCTTTCCTCCCTACTTTCCTTTCTCTTGCTTTTTAAAATTTTGATTAAAAAGTTTGTATTTCAATAGCTTTGAGGGTACAAGTGGTTTTTACTTACATGGATGAATCATATAGTGGTGAAGTGTGAGATTTTAGTGCACCCTCCTTTCTTCTTTCCATCCATCTTTTCTTCAATCTTTACTTCATTTCATCCTTCCACCCTTCTTTCCTTCAATCTATATCTCCTTCAATCCTCTCTTCCATCATCTTTCTTTTCATCCTTTCTTCTGGGCATCTATCCTTCCTCCTCTTTATCTTTCCTTCCTTCCATTCATCCATTTCTACCCTCTTACCGTGCCATTCATCACTTGCCTACTGAACACCCTGACTCAACTACTGAGTCACATAGTAACATCTGGGTCAATAGCCACCGATGTGTCTAAATTTACTGTGAATTATAAAACTAATGTGAAAGAGGAAAGGGAGCAAATCATCTTCCTGGAGATTCTGTCTAGTGAGGCAGAAACTAGAGTCGTTGGAGGGCCTCTTAGGATTTGAACAAAAGTTGGTGCCAAGTTCAACCCTTTCAGAGAAATGGAATCCCCAAGAGTTTTCTTCCTTTATCTACTGACCTCTTGGAAGTAGAGTTTCCTCCTTCTAGGCACTGGGTCCCTCCTACTTTCTTAGGTATTTTGTTCCCTCAATTTTCATTAACTGACCTTTTTATTTCACTTATCTCTTTTGTTTCTTGCTCAACTCAAAGGGAGAAACACTCCCTTATATCTGTGTAGTATTTTAGCTGTTCTTCTAGTACCCTATACCTCACTGATGCTCCCTTCATTCGAATCCCTGAGAACCCCCATGTTGCCAAAGCACTTCTCACCTCATTTCAACTTGGCGAGTCTGTAGTATTTAACAGAACTTACCCTTTCTCATTCCTAAAACTCTCCCCTTTATGGATTCTGTGATGCTATAACTTATTGGTTTTTGTGCCACCTCTCTGACCACTCCTGTTTAGACCAACAGTAAGGAGCATGAATTCCTAGTAACACACAATCTGAGTTCTTCTCCTAGTTCTGTCACTTTCTAGCTTTATGACCTTAAGAAAATTACTTTGCCTCCCTGTGCCTCAATGTCTTCATCTCCAAAATAGGCTTATAATAGTCTCTACTTGGGGCCAGGCATGGTGGCTCACCCCTGTAATCCCAGCACTTTGAAAGGCCAAGGTGAGCAAATTGCGACATCAGGAGTCCAAGACCAACCTGACCAATGTGGTGAAACCCCATCTCTAAAAAAAAATACAAAAATTAGCTAGGCACAGTGGTGCATGACTCTAGTTCCTGCTACTCAGGAGGCTGAGGCAGGAGAATCGCCTGAACCCAGGAAGTGGAGGTTGCAGTGAGCTGAGATCACACCACAGCACTGCAGCCTGGGCGACAGAGTGAGACTCCATCTCAAAAAAAAAAAGAAAAGAAAAAATATAGCCTCTACTTCAAATAGTGTTACAGTTGAGGATCAAATAACTTAATAAAACTGCACTTGACACAGAATAAGTGCGGTATAAATCTGTTGTCATTATCCTTATTGTCATCATCATTACTAACAGTAGAACACCTGTGATGATACTGTAATGATTCAATTATTTGTTTTTGTTTCTTCAATTCCTAACCCAGTGCCTAGAAGTAAAATTTGATAAACACATGTTTGTTAAAAGAATTTTTGGTACAGGAACTAACTAGTTAACTCTTTTTTACTTCTTAGGAAGGGGTCATTCCCTGTAAGTCCCCAATAATAGGATTGTAGGGGCTGTGGGTTCTTACTTGTCAATCGTGTTGAGAGTGAAGGAACTTGATAAGCACTTGTCATTGTTCCCAGCTCAACACTCTCTGTCATTCTGGTATCCAAAATGGGTGATGAAGATGTCCTAGCTGGTTGGCTCCAAGTGTCCAAAGTACTGACTGTAACCAAGTGTCCTTCAATAGTGCTGCCCTCTGTCCCAGAACTGGTGTCCATTCTGTGTGGGGTAGCTGGAGAGGAAGTTATCCCATGGAGGGCTGGGATGGTTGAAGAATCAGTGACAGTGAAGGTTGAAGAGGAGAATGGCACTGGAGTGGATGAAGGCAGGCTCTCTGCAATGGTGGACAGATTAGCATCTCCAGGGCCTGACTCTGTCCTAGAAAGTGGACTACTTGAGCCTGAGATGGCTCGTGGAACTCCAGTGGTGGCAAATGAAGCCATGGTCTCTGATAGAGAAGGCATCGCTGTGCCAGTGGAAATAGTCTCAGCTGAATGCCGCAAATCTGTACTCAGATGATGAGTACTTTCTGATACAGACACAGTAAACTTGGATTCTGGGAAGGAGGTTATCCCAGTGGACTCCATAACAGATAGAGAAGCATTAAAGGGGGTGATTATTTCCTCTGGAATTTCAGTATACTGTGAGGCTGGAGGTTGGTCTGGGAATGATGTTTTCACAGAAGAGGTGACATCAGTCTTGGAACTCTGTAAGAGGTGTGTAGACACAGGAGATGAAGGTGTATTTGTTGGCGTGACTGAGCTTTTGTCCAGGGACATGCTAGTCTCCCTAAATCCAGAAGTCAAATGAGAAAATGGCTCTGCCTCAAACCTTGTGATCTCAAAATTGGCAGGCATTGATGTGAAAATAGTGGTTTCTGCCATGGAAGAGGATGTACCCGTTGGATATGCAGCCTCAGATGGCTCAGAGTGGACTGGAACAGAGGAACGCAGTTCATGTCCAGAACTGGTGGTTCCCACATTGGTCACTGTGGTGCTTGAAGAAGGATGAATTTTCTCTGCATCTGTGGTGACTTCAGAGGCAGCCAGTATTTCAACTGAGGTGCTGCTCAGATTTGGAGATAAACTTGTTCCAGGTTCTGTGCTGGTGGCTGTAGTCTTCACCATGCCTGGGGTAAGGAGTGAAGTCACGGGAAAAGAGGAGGAAGGGAAACTCTGTGGGAATGTGGAAGAAACAGAAGGTGAGGTCATGGCAGGTAAGGACAACACAGAAGAGGAAGAGCTACTTTTTTCCACAAAGGGAGAGCTCTTCCATGATGGATTTTTAGGACTCCTACTAATAAGAGTTGTCATCTCTGAGTGTAAAAATCTTTCAGGAACAGTTGAGTGGGTCCCTGCCAAGGGTGCTGTTGTGGTTGCAGTCAGGGTAAGCATACTCTGTGTTGTAGCCCCAGGAGAACTTGTTTGGGGAGTGATGGTCATTTCTGTTGATTCTGACATCATGGAGGAGGAAGGGAGCCTGGTGATCACTTCGGTGCTTGTGTCTGGAGACACTGTGGACTGATCAGAGTCAGGGATGCATGTTCTGTTAGAGGACATGATTTCTGTCATGGAGACCTCAGTAATAGCACTAGTGGGCATTCCAAAAAAGACTGCACTTGTTTCTGTGATTGAGCTGGTCTCTTCAGAGGTGCTAGTCTCCCTGAATCCAGGAGTCACTGAGAATGTTGGCTCTGTCAGAATCCCCCTAGTCTCAGAGAAGGCAGGAGTTGATGTGGAAACACTGGCATCCCCCATAGGGGAGGTGATGCCCATTGATGATGTGGTTGTAGTTGTTTCTGAGTCAGCTAAGACAGAGGAATGAGATTCATGGACAGAACTGGAGGTCCCCACTTTGGTCACCGCTGTGTTTGAGGAAGAGTGAATTTTCTCTGTATCTGTGATGACTTCAGAGGTGGCCGGCATTTCAACTGAGGTACTGTGCAAATTTGGAGATGAACTGGTTTTAGGCTCTGAGCTTGTGCCTGACACTTCTGCAGTGCCCAACACTTCTGTAGTCTTCACCAGTCCTGGGAGGATAAGTGAAGTCACAGGAAGAGGAGAGGAGGGGCTACTCTCTACTAATGTGGAGGACACAGGAGAAAATGAGGTCATAAGAGGTAATGATGTCAGGGAAGAGGAAGATCTAGTTGTTTCCACAAAGTGAGGGCTCATCCATGACAGATTTTCAAGACCCCTGCTCATAATATTTGTCCTCTCTGAGTGTGAAAGTCCTTGAGACACAGTCGAGTGGGTCCCTAACAAGAAGGTAGTTGAGGTGTCCAAGGGAAGAGTAACCTGAGATGTAGTTAGAGAAGAACCTGTCTGGGTGGTGGTTATTTCTGCAGGTTCTGTCATGATGGGGGAGGTAGAGAGCCTGGTGACCACTTCATCGATGTCTGGTGACATTGTGAACTGAGCAGGGCCAGGAATGGATGTTCTGCTAGAGGGCATAAATTCTGTCCTGGAAACTTCAGGAGTGGTACCAGAGGGCATCTTGTAAAGGACAGTGCTTGTCTCTGTGGATGAGACGATGTCCTGGGAGGTTCTGGTCTCCCTTAGTCCAGGGGTCAGAAAAGACACTGACTCTATCTCAATCCTTGTAATCCCAGAGGAGCCAGGCATTGTTGTGGAAACAATGTTGTCTCTTATAGAGGAAGAGGTAATCATTGGGGACGTCACTTTGGTTGGCTCTGAGAAGGCTGGGGAGGAAGAATAGAATTCCTCTCTAGCACTGGTCATTTCCACATGGGTGACTGCTGTGTTTTCAGAAATGTAAACTGTCTGTATCTCCATGGTGGCTTTAGAAGTGGCCAGACTCTCATCTGAGGTGATATTCATACTGGGAGGTGACGTGGTCACAGGTTCCAAGCTTGTGTCCAACATGTCTGTGGTCTTCATTGTGCCAGAGGTGAAAGGAGAAGTTTCCAGGAGAGGAGAGGAGTGGCTCCTCCCAGATGTTGTGGAATGAAGTGGAGAAGGTGAGGTTACTGCAGGTGAAGGCACCAGGGAAGATGGAGGGCTAGTTTTTTCCACTGATGAGGGGCTTGACCATGACAGATCCTCAGAACCTCTGCTCATAGGAGTGGTCATGGCTGATTGTGGAGATCCCTGAGTTGCAGCTGAGTGAGTTCCTGGCCAGGAGGCTGTGCTTGATGCATCCAAGGCAAAGGCACGTTGTGAGGATGCCCCAGATGGACCTGTTTTGGGGGTGATGGTCATTTCTGCTGAGTCTTTCCTGGTGGGGGGTATAGAAATTCTAGTGATGGTTTCCATGGAGATGTCTGGTGACATTGTGGATTCAGCAGGGCCTTGGGTGGATGTTCTGCTAGAGGAGATGGCTCCTGTCCTGGAGACCTCAGGGGTAGCACCAGTGAGCATGCTAGAATGGACAGTGCTTGTTTCCGTGGCTGAGCTAGTCCCTTCAGAGGTGCTGCTCTCACTCAACCCAGGAGTCAGTGAGAGTGTTGGCTCTGTCTGAATCCCACTAGTGTCAGAGAAGGAAGGACTTGATGTGAGAACACTTGTATCTCCCATAGGGGAGGTGATACCCATTGGATATGTGGCTTTTGTTGTCATTGAGTCAGCTAGGACAGAGGAGGAAGATTCATGTGTATAACCTGAAGTTCCCACATTGGTCACCTCCAGTTTCTCTGTATCTGGGGTGACCTCAGAAGTGGTCAGTATTTCAGCCAAGGTGCTGCTCAGATTTGGAGGTGAACTGGTTTCAGGTTCTGAACTTGTGTCCAACAGCTCTGTGGTCTTCACTGGGCCCAAGGTGAGAAGTGATGTCACAGGAAGAGAAGAGGAGGTGACGCTGTCTGGGAATGTGGAGGAAACAGGAGAAGGTGAGGTCATAGCAGGTGAAGACAGCAAAGAAGAGACAGAGCTGGTTTCTTCCACAGTGGGCTGGCTCGTCCATGGCACATCTCCAGGAGTTCTACTCATAAGAGTGGTCATCTCTGAGTGTGAAAATCCTTGAGATGCAGTTGAGTGGGTCCCTGACAAAAAGGGTGTTGTTGAGGTGTCCGAGGTGAGGGTACCCTGTGATGTGGCCCCAGGAGAACCCTTTTGGGTGGTAATGGTCATTTCTGCAGATACTGTCTTGATGGGGGAGGTAGACAGCCTGGTGATCACTTCAGTGGAGATGCCTGGTGACATTGTTGACTGATCAGGGCTAGGTCCTCTGCTAGAGGATGTGACTTGTGTCCTGGAGTCCTCAATCATGGCACCAGTGAGCACTTTGTAAGGGACAGTGCTTGTCTCTGTGGCTGAGTGAATCTCCTGGGAGGTGCTATTCTCCCTTGGTGTAGGAGTCAGTGTAGATGTTGACTCCATCGCAATTCTTGTTATCTCAGAGGAAGCAGGTATGGTTGTAGAAACAAAATCTTTTATGGTAGAAGGGGTAATCGTTGGAGATGTCACTTTGGGTAGCTCTGAGAAGCCTTGGGAAGGGGAATATACTTCCTGTACAGTTCTGGTGGTTCCCACATGAGTCATTACTGTGTTTTCAGAAACCTCAATTGCCTCTATCTCCATGGTGGCTTTAGAAGTGGCCAGACTCTCATCTGAGGTGATATTCATACTGGGAGGTGACGTGGTCACAGGTTCCAAGCTTGTGTCCAACATGTCTGTGGTCTTCATTGTGCCAGAGGTGAAAGGAGAAGTTTCCAGGAGAGGAGAGGAGTGGCTCCTCCCAGATGTTGTGGAATGAAGTGGAGAAGGTGAGGTTACTGCAGGTGAAGGCACCAGGGAAGATGGAGGGCTAGTTTTTTCCACTGATGAGGGGCTTGACCATGACAGATCCTCAGAACCTCTGCTCATAGGAATGGTCACGGCTGATTGTGGAGATCTCTGAGTTGCAGCTGAGTGAGTTCCTGGCCAGGAGGCTGTGCTTGATGCATCCAAGGTAAAGGCACGTTGTGAGGATGCCCCAGATGGACCTGTTTTGGGGGTGATGGTCATTTCTGCTGATTCTTTCCTGTTGAGGGGGGTAGAAATTCTAGTGATGGTTTCCGTGGAGAGGTCTGGTGACATTGTGGATTGAGCAGGACCTGGGTAGGATGTTCTGCTAGAGGAGATGGCTCCTGTCCTGGAGACCTCAGTAGTAGCACCAGTGGGCATCCCAGAAAGAAAAGCACTTCTCTCTGTGGCTGAGCTTGTCTCTTCAGAAGTGCTGATCTCCCTTAATCCAGAGGTCAGGGAGGAAGTTGACTCTGTCTGAATCGTCATCGTTTCTGGGAAGGCAGGAGTTGATGTGAAAATATTTGTATTCTCCATAGCAGAGGTGGTACCCATTGGAGATGTGGCTTTTGTTGTCACTGAGTCAGCCAAAACAGAGGAAGGGGATTGATGTTTATAAACCAAAGTTCCTACATTGGTCATTGCTGTGTTCAAGGAGGGATACATTTTCTCTGTATCTTTAGTGACTTCAGAGGTGGCTAATATTTCAGCTGAGGTGCTGCTCAAATTTGGAGGTGAACTGATTTCAGGTTCTGAGCTTGTACCCAACATGTCTGTGGTCTTCATCGGGCCAGGGGTGAGAAGTGCAGTCACAGGATGAGAGGAGAGGATGCTCTCTGATAATGTGGAGGAAAAAGGAGAAGGTGAGGTCATGGCAGGTGAAGACAGCAGGGAAGAGATAGGGATGGTTTCTTCCACAGAGGGATGGCTCAGCCATGGCACATCTCCAGGAGTTCTACTCATAAGAGCTGTAATCTCTGAGTGTGAAAATCCTGAAGATGCAGTTGAATGGGTCCCTGACCAAAAGGGTGTTGTTGAGGTGTCCAAGGTGAGGGTACCCTGTGATATAGCCTCAGGAGAACCTGTATGAATAGTGATGGCACTCTCTGCTGATTCTGTCATAATGGGAGAGGTGGAAAGCCTGGTGATCACTTCAGTGGTGATGTCTGGTGACACTGTGGACTGATCAGGCTCTGACACGGATGTCCCACTAGAGGAGATGACTTCTGTCCTGGAGACTTCAGTGGGAGCACCACTGGGCACTTCAGAAAGGACAGTGCTTCTCTCTGGGGCTGAGCTGATCCCCTCAGAGCTACTGGTCTCCCTCAATCGAGGTGTCAGGGAGGGTGTTGGTTCTATCTGAATTCTGCTGGTCTCAAAGAGGTCAGAAGTGGATATGGAAACACTCATATCCTCCATGGTGTAGGTGGCAACCATCAGAGATGTGGCTTTGGGTGTCTCTGAGTCAGCTAGGACAGAAGACTGTGATTCGTGTCCAGAACTGGAGGTCACTACGTTGGTCACTGCTGTCTGTGTGGAAGGATGTGTGGCTTCTGTATCTACAGTGTCTTCCAAAGTGGTCAGTCTTTCATGGGAGGTGCTGCTCAAATTTGAAGTGGAGCTGGTTCCAGGTTCTCTGCTTATGCCTGTCATGTCTGTGGTTATCACCAGGCCAGGGGTGACAAGATAAGCCACAGAAAGAGAAGAGGAAGGGAAACCCCTCACTAATGTAGAGGAGACAGGAGAAGGTGTGGTTGAGGCAGGTAAAGACAGCAGGGAAGAGGCAGAGCTGGTTTCTTCCACGGAGGGTTGACTAGGCTGTAACACATTGCCAGGGCCTGTGCTCACAAGGGTGGACATCTCCGAGTGTGGAAATCTCTGAATCATAGTTGAGTGGGTTTCTACCAAGTAGGGAGCTGTTGATATGTCCACAGTAAGAGGACTCTCTGGTGCAGCCCCAGGAGGATCTGTTTGCATCTTGATAGTCATTCCTGCTGATTCTGTCATCATGGGGGAGGTAAGGAGTCTGGTGATGGCTTTTGTGGAGGTGTCTGGTGACACTGTGAGCTGAGCAGGGCCTGAGATGGATGTTCTGCTAGAGGAGGTGATTTTTGTCCTGGGGACTTCAGCAGGGGCACCAGTGGACACTCCAGAAAGGACAGTGCTTATCTCTGTGGCTGAGCTGGTCCCCTCAGAGCTGCTGGTCTCCCTCAGTCCAAGGGTCAGGGAGGATGTTGGTTCTGTCTGAACTCTGCTAGTTCTGAAAAAGCCAGGAATTGATGTGGAGACGCTTATATTCTCCATGGTGGAAGTGATAGCCATTGGATATGTGGCTTTGGATGTCTGTGAGTCAGCTAGGACAGAGAAAGGGGATTCATGTCCAGAACTCGAAGTTCCCACATCAGTCACTGCTCTCTTTGAAGAAGGATGAGTTTTCTCTGTATCTGTGGTGACTTCAGAAGTGGCCAGTATTTCAACTGAGGTGCTGCTCAAATTTGCAGGTGAGTTGGTTACAGGTTCTGAGATTTTGTGCAACATATCTATAGTTTTTGTCAGGCCAGACATGAAGAATGAAGTCATAGTAAGAGGAGAGGATGGGATACTCTCTGGTATTGTGGAGGAAACAGGAGAAGGTGAAGTTGTGGTTGGTGAAGACACTGAAGAAGAGGAAGAGCTAGTTTTTTCCTGAAGGGGAGAGTTCATCCATGATACATCCTCAGGACCCCTCCTCATAAGAGTGCTCATCTGTGAGTGTGAAAATCCTTGAGATACAGTTGAGTGTGTCGTTGTCAAAGAGGTTGTGTTTGATGTGTCCAAAGTATTGGTGCCTTGCGTTATAGCCCCTAAAGGACTTGTGTGGGTGGTCATGGTTATTTCTGCTGATTCTGTCATGACAGGGGATGTAGAGAACCAGCTGATGGTGGTTCCAGTGGAGATGTCTGGTGACATTGTGGACTGAGCGGGACCTGGGATGGAGGTGGCATCTTCCTTGGAGATCTCAGTAGTAGTACCAGTGGGTACTTTAGAAAGGACAGTACTCATCTTTGTGCCTGAGCTGGTCCCATCAGAGCTGCTGGTCTCCCTGAATCCAGGGGTCAGGAAGGATGTTGGCTCTGTCTGAATCCTCCTAGTGTCAAGGAGGGCAGGAGTTGATGTGAGAATACTTGTATCCCCCATGGTGGAGGTGGTATCTATTGGAGAAGAGGCTTTGGATGTCTCTGAGTCAGGTAGGACAGAGGATTGTGATTTATATCCAGAGCTGGTGGTCACCACATTTGTCACTCCTGTGTTTGTAGAAGGATGCATGGCTTCTGTATGTGTACTGTCTTTGTAAGTGGTCAGTCTCTCATGGGAGGTTCTGCTCAAATTTGAAGATGAACTGGTTCCAAGTTCTGTGCTTATGCCCAAGACATCTGTGGTTGTCACCGGGCCAGATGTGAGAAGTGAAGTCACAGGAAGGGGAGAGGCGGGGATATGTGCTGGTAACGTGGTGGAAACAGGATGAGGTGAGGCCATGGCAGGTAAAGACAGCGGGGAAGATGGAGGGCTGGTTTCTTTCACAAAGGGAGGGCTAGGCCATGACACACCTCCAGAACCTCTGCTCATGAAAGTGGTCATCTCAGGGTGTGGAAATCCCTGAATCACTGTAGAGTGGGTTCCTACCCAAGAGGGTGTGGTTGCTGTATCCAAATTAAGAGTACTTTCTGGTGTAGACCCTGAAGGACGTGTTTGGGTTGTGATGGTCATTTTTGCAGATTCTGTCATGACAGAGGAGGTAGTAATCCTGGTGATGGTTTCTGTGGAGATGTCTTGTGACACTGTGGGCTGCTCAAGGCCTGAGATGGATGTTCTGCTAGGGGAGATGGCTTCTGTCCTGGAGACCTCAGTAGTAGCACCAGTGGACACTTCAGAAAGAACAGTGTTTGTTTCTGTGGCTGAGCTGGTCTCTTTGGAGGTGCTGGTCTCCCTCAGTCTGGTGGGCAGTGAGGAAGCTGGCTCTGTATGAATTTTCCTAGTGTCAGATAAGGCAGGAGTTAATGTAGAAACACCTGTATCCGCCATGATGGAAACAGTACCCATTGGAGATGCGGCTTTGGTTGTCTCTAAGTCAGCTAGGACAGAGAAAGGGGATGCATGTCCAGAGCTGGAATTTCCAACTTTGGTTACTGCTGTGTTTGAGAAAGGATGAATTTTCTCTGTCTCTGTGGTGACTTCAGAGGTGGCCAGTATTTCAACTGAGGTGCTGCTCAAACTTGGAGGTGAATTGGTTTCAGGTTCTGCGCTTGTGTCTAATACCTCTGTAGTCTTCACTTGACCAGGTATGAGAAGTGAAGTCACAGAAGCAGAAGAGGAGTGGCTACTTGCTGGTAATGTGGAAGAAACAGGAGAAGGTGAGATCATGGCAGGTAAAGACAGCTGGGAAGATGGAGGGCTGGTTTCTTCCACAAGGGGAGAGCTAGGCCATGGCACGTCTCCAGGACCTCTACTCATAAGAGTGGTTATCTCAGAGTGTGGAAATCTCTGAGTCATAGTAGAGTGGGTTATTAACAAGGAGGGTGTGGTTGATGTGTCTAATGTAAGGGTACTGTCTGGTGAAGACGCAGGAGGACCTGTTTGGGTCTTGATGGTCATTTCTGATGATTCTGTCATGATGGGGGAGGAAGGGAACCTAATGATTGTTCTTGTAGTGGATATTTCTGGCAACACTGTGGACTCAGCAGGACCAGAGATGGAAGTTCTGCTAGAGGAGGTGACTTCTGTTCTAGAGACCTCCGTAGTAGTACCAGCGGGCACTTCAGAAAGGACAGCACTTGTCTTTGTGGCTGAGCTTGTCTCTACAGAGCTGCTGGTCTCCCGCAATTTAGGGGCCAGGGAGGAAATTGACTCTTTCTGAATTCTACTAGTCTCCACAAATAGAGGGGTTGATATGGCAACTGTTGTGTCTTCCTGGGTGGAGGTAATAAACATTGGTGATGTGGCTTTGGATGTATCTGAGTCAGCTAAGACAGAGGAAGGGGATGTACGTCCAGAGCTGGAGGTCTCCACATTGGACACTGCTGTGTTTGTGGAAGGATGCACAGCTTCTGTATCTGTGGCGTCCTTGCCAGTGATCAGTCTCTCATTTGAAGTGTGACTCAACTTTGGAGGTGAACTGGCTACAGGTCCTGGGTTTGTGCGTGACACATCTGTGGTCATCACTGGGCCAGAGGTGAGAAGTGAAGTCACAGGAAGAGGAGAGGAGGAGACATTCACTGGTAATGTGGAGGAAATGGGAGGAGGTGAGGTTGTGGCAGGTAAAGACAGCAGGGAAGGAAGGAGGGAAGGGAGAGAGCTGGGTTTTTCCACAAAGGGAGAGCTTTGCCATGACATATCTCCAGGACCTCTGCTCATGAGAGTAGTCATCTCTGCATGTGAAAATCTCTGAGTCAAAGTTGAATTAATCTTTGCCTGGGACTTTGTGGTGGATGTGTCCAAGGTAAGGGTATCCTGTGATGTAGACCCAGAAGGACCTGTTTGGGTGGGGATGGCCATTTCTGCTGATTCTGTCATGGTGGGCGAGGCAAAGAGCCTCGTCATTGTTCCTGTGGGTACTTGTGGCAACATCGTGGACTGAGCAGGGCCAGGGACAGATGTTCTACCAGAGGAGGCGACTTCTGTCCTGGAGACCTCAGCAGTAGTACCAGTGGAGACTTCTGAAAGAACAATACTTGCGTCAGTGGGAAAGCTGGTATTTTGGGAGATGTTGGTCTCCCTTAGTCCAGGAGTCAAAGAATATGTTGAATCACTCCGAATTTTTGTAGTTTCAGAGGAAACAGACCTTGATGTGGAAATAGTTGTATGCCCCATGGTGGAGGTGGTAACCATTGAAGCTGTGGCCTTGGGTTTTTCTGAGTCAGCTAGGACAGAGGATTGTGACTTATTTTCAGAACTGGTGGTTTCCACCTTAGTCACTGCTGTTCTTGTGAAAGGATGCATGGCTTCCATATCTGTGGTGTCTTCATCTGTCATCAGTATCTCATTTGAAGTACTACTCAGATTTAGAGGTGAACTGGTTCTAGGTTCTGGGCTTGTGCCCAACGTGTCCGTGGTCATCACTAAGCTGGAGGTAAGCAGTGAAGTCATAGGAGAAGGAGTGGTGTGAATGGTCTTTGGTAATGTTGAGGAAATAGGAGAAGGTGAAGTCATGGCAGGTAAAGGCATCAGGGAAGAGGAGAAGCTTGTTTTTTCTGTAGAAGGAGGGACTGTCTGTGACAGAATCTCAGGATCCTTGTTCATGAGAGTGTTCATCTCTGAGTGTGGAAATTCTTGAGTGACACCTGAGTGTGTTTCTTCCCTGGAGGGTATAGTTGGTGTGTCCAAGATAAATATGCCCTGTGATGTAGATCCAAGAAGAGGGCCTGTTTGAGTGATGATGGTCATTTTTGCAGATTCTGTAATTCCAGGGGAGATAGGCAGCCTGGAGTTCACTTCAGTGGAGATGTCTGGTGACATGGAATGATCAGGGCTCGGAGTGGATGTTCTTCTAGAAGAGGCAACTTCTGTCCTAGAATTCTCAAGTGTAGCACCAGTGGTCACTTTGTAAAGGACAGCACTTTTCTCTGTGGATAAGATGGGCTCCTGGGAGGAGCTGGTATCCTTCAGCCCATGGGCCAGCGAGGATGCTGACTCCATCTCAATCCCTGTAATCTCAGAGGATCCAGGCATGGATGTAGAAACAATGGTGTCCCTTATGGTGAAAGAGGTAACCATTGGAGAGGTGACTTTAGGTGTTTCTGAGTAGGCTGGGACAGACGAATAAGATTCATTTTCAGATGTAGTGGTCTCCACCTTGGTTACTGCTATGTTTGTGGAAGGATACATTTTCTCTGTATTTTTAACATCTTCAGAAGTAGTCGGTATCTTATCTGAGGTGCTGCCCAAATTTGGAGGTAAACTGGCCACAGATGCCAGCATATCTGTGGTCTTCACCAGGCCAGAAGTGGGGAGTGAAGTCAGATGAACAGGAGAAGAGGGCCTACCCACTTGCAATGTAGTTGGAATAGGGGAAGGTGAGGTTATTGCTGGTGAAGACAGAAGGGAAGAGGGAGAGCTGTTTTCTTCCACAGAGAGTGGGCTTGTCCCTGACACATCTTCAGGAATTATGCTCGTAAGAGTGAACACATCTAATTGTGAAAACCCATGAGTCATAGCTGAATGGGTCCCTGCCTGTGAGGTTGTGATTGATGTGTCCCAGGTAAGGGTACCCTGTGATGTAGCCCCAGGAAGACCTGTTTGGGTGGCAATGTTCATTTCTTCAGATTTTGTCATGCCAGCAAATGTAGAGAGCACAGTGACAGATCCTGTGGAGGTGTCTGGTGACATTGTGGACTTTTCAGCACCTTGGATGGATGTCCTGCTGGAGGAGGTGACTTCTGTTCTGGAGACCTCAGTAGGAGCAGCAGTGAGTGTTTCATCAAACACAGTGCTTGTGTCTGAGGATGAGCTTATTTTCTGGGAGGTGCTGGTCTCTCTCCTTCTAAAGATCAGGGAGGAAGTTGTCTCAGACTCAATCTTTGTCATCTCAGAGGATCTAGACGTTGACGTGGAAACTATAGAGTCCCCCATGGTGGAAGTGATAACTACTGGAGATGTGGCTTTATATGGCTCTGAGTCCAGTGAGATGGTAAGATGGAATTCATGTGGTGAACTGGTTGTCCCAACATTGGTCACTGCTCTGTTTATAGAAGGATGCATCATGTGTGTATCTATGGTGGCTTCTGAAGTGGCTGAGGTGTTGCTTAAACTTTGAGGTGAACGGGTCACAGGCTCTAAGCTTGTGTCCATGTCTGTGATCTTTGCCAATGGAGAGGTGAGTACTGAGGTCACAGAAACAGAAGAGGTACTGTGCACTTGCAATGTGGAAGTTACAGGAGAAGGTGAGGTTGTCACAAGGATAGGTGCCTGAGAAGAGAGAGAGTTGGCTTCTTCTGCAGAGAAAGGGCTTGTCTTCGACATATCATTGAGATCATTGTTCAAGACAGTGGTTGTTTTTGAATCTACAAAATCCTGAGTTCCAGCTGATGGAGTCCCTGCTGGAGTGGCTATGGTTGATGTTTGCAAGGTCAGTTGGCCAAGAGATGTCACCCCAGAAGGACCTATTTGTGTGATGATGGTCTTGTGTGTAGATATTGTCAAGGGAGAAGAGTTAGAATGTCTACTGCTGGCTTCAGGTGAAATGTCTGAGGACTTTGTTGACTGAGCAGAAGCTGGCATGAATGTAGAATCATAATAGGGGACTTCTGTCCTGGAGACCTCAGTAGCAGCACCCATGGACACACTGGAGAAAACAATGTTTGACTCTGTAGTTGAGTTCATCACCAGGGAGGTGGTGTTCTCTATCAATTCAGGAGTCAGGGAGGATGTTGACTCTCTGTCAATATTTGCAGTCTCAGAAAAACCAAGTGTTGAAGTGGAAACAATAGTATCCTCCATCATAGATCCAGCAACATTTGGAGTTGTGGTTCTGGATGGCTGGGAGTGGACTGAGACATAGGAATGTAGTTCATGCATAAAACTGGTGGTGCCCATGTTGTTTTCTGCTGTGTTCTCTGAAAAGTGAATTGTCTCTGTATTTGTTGAGGCATCAGAAGTAGGTATCTCACCTGAGAAGCTACTTGCACTTGATAAGGAGCTGGTCACAGGTTCTGAGCTTGCATCTAACATGTCTGTGGTCTTCATCCTGCCAGAGAGGAGAAGGGAAGTCACAGGGAGAGAAGCGGGGCTACTTCCTGATAGTGTGGAATAAGGAGGTGAATGTGAGGTTATTGCAGGTAAAGGCTCCAGCAAAGATGGAGAACTGGTTTCTTCCACAGAGGGAGGGCTTTGCCATGACACAGTCATAGTACCTCTGCTCCTAGTAGTGGTCTCCGAGTGTGAAAATCTCTGAGTCACAGGTGGGTGAGTCCCTTCCCAGGAAGCTGTGCTTGATATGTCCAGGGTAAGGGTAGCCTGTGAGGTAGTCCCTATAGGACCTGTTTGGCTGGTGATCGTCATTTCTGTGGATCCTGTTACAACAGGAGAAGTGGAGAGGCTGGTGATGGTTTCTGTGGAGATATATGGTGACATTTTGGAATGATCAGGCCCTGAGATGGATGTTCTGCTAGAGGTGATAACTTCTGTCCTGGAGACCTCAGTAGTAGCAGTAGTGGGCACTTTTGAAAGGAAAGCGCTTGTCTCTGTCACAGTGTTGGTCTCCTTAGACATGCTGGTGTCCTTCAATCCAGGAGTCCAAGAGGATGTTGATTCCGTCTGAATTCTAGCCTCAAATAAAGCAGGATTTGATGTAGAAACTCTTGTATCCCGCATGGTGAAGGTGGTACCCATTGAAGTTGTGGCTTTGGATGTGTCTGAGTCAGCTGAGACAGAAGATTGTGATTCATGTCCAGAACTGGAGGTGCCTACATTGGCCACTGCTGTGTTTGTGGAAGGATGCATGGCTTCTGTGTGTGCAGTGTCTTTGTAAGTGGCTGGTTTCTCATTTGTGGTGCTGCTCAAATTTGGAGGTGAACTGGTCACAGGCTCTGGGCTTGTTGTGCCCAGCACATCTGTGGTTGTCACCAGAACAGAAGTAGGAAGTACAGTCACAGGAAGAGTAGAGGAGGGGATGCTCTCTGGTAATGTGGAGGAAACAGAAGGGGAGGTCACGGAAGGAGACATCAAGGAAGACGCAGAGCTGGTTTCTTCCACCGGGGAAGTTGTCATCCGTGACAGATCTCTAGGAGTTCTGCTCCTAAGAGTGGTTATCTCTGGGTGTGGGAATCCCTGAGATGCAGTTGAATGAGTCCCTCCCTGGAAGAGTGTGGTTGATGTGTCCAATGAAAGGGTACCCTGTGATGTAGCCCCAGTAGTAGTTGTTTGAGTGGTGATGGTCATTTCTGCAGATTTTGTCATGGTGGGGGAAGTGAAGAGCCTGGTGGTCATTCCTGTGGAGATGTCGAGTGTCATTGTGGACTGATCAAGCTCTGAGATGGATGTTCTGCTAGAGGAGATTTCTGTCCTGGAGGCCTGAGTAGTAACACCAGTGGGCACATAAGAAATGGCAGTATTTGTCTCTGTCAGTGAGCTGGTCTTCTCAGATGTGATGCTCTCCCTCAATGTAGGGATCAGGGATGCTGTTAACTCTGTTTGAATTTGGCTAGTCTGAGAGCTATCAGGAGTTGATATGGAAACACCTGTGTCCCCCAGGGTGGAGGTGGTACTCGTCGGAGGTGTGACTCTCAATGTCTCTGAGTCAGCTAGGACAAAGGATTGTGATTCATATCCAGACCTGGAGGTCCCTACATTGGCCACTGCTGTGTTTCTGGAAGGATGCATGGCTTCCGTGTGTGCAGTGTCTTTGTAAGTGGTTGGTCTCTCATTTGTGGTGCTGCTCAAATTTGGAGGTGAACTGGTCACAGGCTCTGGGCCTGTTGTGCCCAGCACATCTGTGGTTGTCACCAGAATAGAAGTAGGAAGTACAGTCACAGGAAGAGGAGAGGAGGGGATGCTCTCTGGTAATGTAGAGGAAACAGAAGGGGAGGTCACGGCAGGAGACATCAAGGAAGACGCAGAGCTGGTTTCTTCCACCGGGGAAGCTGTCATCCATGACAGATCTCCAGGAGTTCTGCTCCTAAAAGTGGTTATCTCTGCGTGTGGGAATCCCTGAGACGCAGTTGAATGAGTCCCTCCCTGGAAGAGTGTGGTTGATGTGTCCAAGGGAAGGGTACCCTGCGATGTAGCTCCACGAGTGGTTGTTTGAGTGGTGATGGTCATTTCTGCAGATTTTGTCATGATGGGGAAGGTAAAGAGCCTGGTGATCATTCCTGTGGAGATGTCAGGTGCCCTTGTGGACTGATCAAGCTCTGAGATGGACATTCTGCTAGAGGAGATTTCTGTCCTGGAGGCCTGAGTAGTAGCACCAGTGGGCATGTAAGAAAAGGCAATATTTGTTTCTGTTGTTGAGCTGGTCTTCTCAGAAATACTGCTGTCCCTCAATCCAGGGATCAGGGATGTCACTGACTCTGTTTGAATTTGACCAGTCTGAGAGCTATCAGGAGTTGATATGGAAACACTTGTGTCCCCCATGGTGGAGGTGGTACCCATTGGAGATGTGGCTTTGGATGTCTCTGAGTCAGCTAGGACAGAGGATTGTGATTCATGTCCAGAACTGGAGGTGCCTACATTGGCCACTGCTGTGTTTGTGAAAGGATGCAAGGTTTCTGTATGTGCACTGTCTTTGTAGGTTATCAGTCTCTCATATGTGGTGCTGCCCAGATTTGGAGATGAACTGGTTACAGGCTCTGGGCTTGTTGTGCCCAGCACATCTGTGGTTGTCACCAGAACAGAAATAGGAAGTGCAGTCACAGGAAGAGGAGAGGAAGGGATGCTCTCTGGTAATATGGAGGAAACAGGAGAAGGGGAGGTCACGGCAGGTGAAGACATCAAGGAAGAAGCAGAGCTGGTTTCTTCCACAGGGGGAGTTGTCATCCATGACACATTCTCAGGACCCGTGCTCATAAAAGTGGTCACCTCTGAGTGTGGGAATCCCTGAGTCACGATTGAATGAGTCCCTCCCTGGGAACGTGTGGTTGATGTGTTCAAGGGAAGAGTACCGTGTGATGCAGACCCAGGAGGACTTGCTTGGGTGGTGATTGTCATTTCTGCAGATTTTGTCATAATGGAGGAGGTAAAGACCCTCGTGTTCTCTCCTGTGAAGGTGTCAGATTGCATTGTAGACCTATCATGATCTGGGGTGGATATTTTGCTAGAAGAGATGACCTCTCTGCCGGAGACCTCAGTGATAGTATCAGTAGGGACTTTGGACAGTAGAAAACTCATGTCTGTGGAAAAGCTGGACTCCTTAGAGGTGCTAGTCTCTGTTAGTCTAGGAGTCAAGAAATATGTTGGCTCTCTCTTAATGTTTGTAGTCTCAGAGGAACCATGCATTGGCATTGATGTGGAAGGAGTGGGATCTCCTGCAGTGGTGGCAATAACCATTTGAGTTGTGGCTTTGGGTGTCTCTGAATCAGCCAGTGTAGAGGAATGGGATTCATGTCCAGAGTTGTTGGCTTTCACGTTGGTCTCTGCAGTGTTTATGGAAGGATCAATTATCGCTGTGCCTTGACCATCTTTAGAAGTAGCCAGTATCTTATCTGAGGTGCTGCTGAAATGTGGAAGTGAACTGGTCACAGGTTCCAAGCGTGTATGTAATGTATCTGTGATCTTCACCAGGCCAGAGGTGAGAAGTGAAGTCACAGGAGAAGAGAGCCTATCCTTTGGTAAGGTAGAGGAAACCAGGGAAGGTGTGGTCATTGTAGGTAAAGACAGAAAGGAGGACGGGGAGCTGGTTTTATCCACAGAGGGAGGACTTGTCCATGACACATCCATTGGAATTCCGCTCATAAGAGTGGTCACATCTGATTGTGAAAATCCATGAGTCATAACTGAGTGGATCCCTGCCTGGGGGGTTGTATTTAATGTGTCTGTGGTAAAGCCATCCTGTGATGTCGCCCCATGAGGACCTGTTTTGGTGGTGATGATTATTTCTGCAGATTCTGCCATTATAGGGGAGGTAAAGAGCCTGGTGATGGTTTCTGTAGATATGTCTAGTGACACTGTGGACTGATCAGGACCAGGGATGGATGTATTGCTAGAGGAAGTGACATCTGTTCTGGATACCTTGGCGGTGACACCGGTGAGCTCTTTGTAAGGAACAGTGCTTGTCTCTGTGGATGAGGTGATCTCCTGGGAGATGCTGGTCTCCCTCAGTTTAGGAGTCAAGGAGGAAGTTGTCTCAGTCTCAATTTTTGTAGTCTTAGAGGATCTAGGTATTGATCTGGAAATCGTGGCATCTTCCATGGTGGAGGTGGTAACATATGGAGATGTGACTTTAGATGGCTCTGAGTCAGCTGAGACAGTGGAATGCAATTCAAATGCTGAACGGGTGGTCCCCACATTGGTCACGGCTATGTTTATGGAAGGATGCGTTGTCTCTATATCTGTGGTGGCTGCTGAAGTGGCCAATATGTCATCCAAAGTGTGGCTCATACTTTGAGGTGAACTGGTTACTTTTTCTAAGCTTGTATCCACCTTGCCTGTGATCTTTATCAGTGAAGAGGTAAGAACTGAGGACATAGGAACAGGAGAGGAGGTACCATGCCATTGCAATGTGGAAGCAACAGGAGAAGCTAAGATTGTGACAAGAACAGGTGCCTGAGAAGAGGGAGAGCTGGCTTCTTCCACAAAGGGAGGGTTTGTCTGTGACATGTCCTTGGCATCATTGTTCATGGCAGTGGTTATTTTTGAGTGGGCAAACCCCTCAGTCACCACTGATGGAGTCCCTGCTGAGGTTTCCAACATTGATGTGTCTAAGGCAAGTGAAATCTTTGATGTAACTCCAGAAGACCCTGGCTGCGTAGTGGTCATGTGGGTAGATATTGCCATGGGAGGAGAGTTTGATAGTCTACTGCTGGTCACTGAAAAAATATCTGGGGGCTTTGTTGACTGAGCATGAGTTGGTATAAATGTTGCATCAAAAGAGGAGACTTCCATTTTGGAGGCTTCAGTAGCAGCTCCCACAGACACACTGGAGAGGATGATGTTTGACTCCTGGGTGGTGCTATTCTTACCTCGTCCAGGAGTCAGAAAGGATGCTGCCTCTCCCTCAATGTCTGTGGTCTCAAAAGCAGATGTTGATGTAGAAACAAGAGTGTCCTCCATGGTGGAGGCAGGAACCACTGGAGATGTGGTTGTAGATGGTTCTGAGCTGGCTGGGAGAGTGGAATGCAATTCATGTGATGAACTGATGGTCTCCGTATTGGTCACTGCTTTGTTTATGGAAGGATGAATTTTCTCTATATCTGTGGTGGCTTCTAAAGTGGCCAGTATCTCACTTGATGTGTTGTTCAAAGTTTGAGGTGAAATGGTCACGGGTTCCACACTCGTGTTCAATTTATCTGTGGTCTTTATCAGTTCAGAGGTGAGAACTGAAGCCATAGAAACAGGAGAGGATGTACTTTGCCCTTGTAGTGTGGAAGTGGCAGGAGGTAAGGTTGTGGCCAAGATAGGTGTCAGGGAAGAGGGAGAGCTGATTTCTGCCACAGAAGGAGGGCTTGTCCATGACACATCCCTGGGACCTTTGCTCATGGGAGTGGTCTTCTCTGATTGCATAAAATCTGGAGTCACAGCCAATGGAGTCTCTGTCAAGTAAGGCATGGTTGATGTGTCCAAGAGATGTGGACCCTGTGTTGTGGCTCCAGTAGGATCTGTTTGGGTAGTGATGGTCACTCCCAAAGATTCTGTCATTATCAGAGAAGTGGATGGGTTGGTGCTCACATTTGTAAATGTGTTGGTAGAAGTTTTGAAGTGATAAGGGCTTGGGATGGATGTTCTGCTAGGGAAAGTGACTTGTGTCTTGGTGACTTCGGTAGGAGCATCACCAGTAGACGTATGGGTAATGACAGTGCTTGTCTCTGTAGCAGAGCTGGTCACTTGGGATGTGCTTCTCTCCTGAAGTCCTGGATTCAGAGAGGATGCTGTCTCAATCTCTGTGGTCTCAGAGGAGCCAAACACTAATGTAGAAGCAGTGATATCTCTCATGGTGTGGGAGGTAACCATTGGAGATGTGGCTTTGGATGGCTGTGTATGGACTGGGACAGGAGAATGTTCAGAACTGGTTGCCTCCACATTTATCACTGCTGTGTTTTCAGAAGGATGAATCACCTTTGTATCTCTGGTGGCTTCATAAGTGGATAATGCCTCACCAGCTGTACTGCCTAAATTGGGAGGTAAACTGGTCCCAGGTTCGAAGCTTATCCTTGACAAGTCGGTGGTCTTCCCCATGCCAGAGGTCTCAGGCCAGAGAACTGAGGTCACAGGTGGAGTAGAGGAGGGACTGTGTTCTTGTGATGTCAACAAAGTATTGGAAGGTGAGGTTGTGGGATGGATAGGTGCCAGGGAAGAGAAAGAGCTGGTTTCTTCCACATAGGCAGGGCTTGGCTGTGATGCATCCTCAGGACCTTTGCTGAAGAGAGTGGTCTCCTCTGAGTATGTAAATCTCTGAGTCATAGCCAATGGAGTCCCTGCCCAGGAGGCTGTGGCTGATGTGTCCAAGGTAGGTGCACTTAGTGATGTAGTGCCAGGTGGATCCATTTGCATAGCGAGAGTCATTCCTCCATATTCTGTCATGGCGGGGAAGTTAGACAGCCTGGTGATGGTTTCTGAGGGCCTGTCTGATGACCTCATAGACTGGGCAAGGAATGAGCTGGATATTCTCTCAGAGGAGGAGGTAATTTCTGTTCTAGGTCCCTTGGTGATAGCAGTGGAGCCTGGCGAAGAGATAATACTTGTTTGCGTGGTTGAGCTGGTGTCCATGTAAGGATTGAAGTCCCTCAGTTCAGCAGTCAAGGAGGAATTAGGCTCTGTTCCAGCCCTTGTAGACTCTGGCCATGTGGTCATTGATACAGAAAAAATGGCTTGTCCCCTGGTGGAGGCAGTAACCACTGGAGATGTGAGCTTGGATGATTCTGAGTGGGCTGGAACAGTGGAATGAGAAGGATGTTTGGAACTTGTGACCCATGGTGTTGTCTCTACTATGTTTGTAGAAGGGCGAATTGACTCTTTGTCTGTGGTGGACTCAGAAGGGGCATATGGGCTCTTATATGGGCTGCTTTTCCAGTTTGAGGATGAAGTAATTGCAGATTCCAAGCTTATGCCTGGTGTATCCGAGGTCCTTAATAAACTGGAGGAGCTGGTAACCTTGATGGTCTCTTCTGGATGTCTAGAAGTTGTGGTGGGAAACTGAGTAGAACTCTGCTCTGCCTTTTTGCTTGTGAGGTCTGGTCTTGAAAAAGTAACTCCAGAGCTCCTTACCACTGCAGCTGGTGTGACTCCACCTGTAACGTCTCCTGTAGAGAAGGGTGGCTGTGAGGTAGTTGGGCTGATCGTCATCTCCAAAGTGAGTTCTTGAGGAGTTGTGGCCCCCTGAGGAGCTGAGGTAGTGACTGTGGCTGATGACACAGATTTCCCAGTGTCCCAATCAAGAGTGGATAGAGAATCAAACAGAACAGTGGACAGGGTCATATTTGGGCCAGTCTTTGTACTGGCATAATTAGTAGAAGCCATTGAAACAGGCACATCTCCTGTTTCTGTTCTACTGGGAGTCCAACTTGTACTTGAAATGTCAGCAACTGAGGTGCTCTGGATACGAGAAAAATTTGAGATGGGAGTAGACAGAGTTGTAACTGAAGGACTCAATGTTATTTCACGTGTACTGCTTTCTGTCTTTATGGCTGAAGCATCAGAGGATGGAGTGACCAGGCTGGTTCCAATGACAGTAATAAGGCCATTGGGAATAGACATGGAGTCCAATTCAGTGCTTGAGGCTAAGAATGAAGTTGTACGCATTGTAGAAATTGTTCCAGGAGAACTTGCCACTTTCAAGTTTGAAGCCATGTCTGTGACAGTCCAGGGATCTGATGCAGCTGTGGAGGACCAGGTGGGAGTGTGCTCTATAGATGTGCTCCTCTCTGTGGCCAGGGTGCTGTCCATGGTACTCACACCCCCTTCTGGGCTGGGTGTAGTAGTCAAGATTGAGTTGGTTCCTATGGTAGTGATGGTGGTGGTGATACCTGGAGTAGGAGCTGTGGCTACACCAGCGATGCTCACTTCCACAGGAGAGGAGGTCTGGGATAGTTGCCCAGCAGTAGGGGAAGTGTCACTAGTCACTACACTTATGATGCCCATCAGAGTCTCAGGCCCTGTTGAAGGGGATGTGACAGACGATGCAGAGCTTGTTTTTCCTCCTGAGGCATTGGTGAGGCTGGTAATGCCTTGGTCTCCAGAGAGCAGAGATACTAGTGAGGTGGTTTGTGCTGTGGAGCTGATGTGTAATGTGTTTGTGACATCAGGAGATGCACCAAGGGTTCTGTCACTCCCAGATGTCTGATGTGACAATGAGCTAGTTGATGAAACAGCCTCATCCACAGATGGACTTGTCTGTTGTTCAGCTGCCATTGTCTTGTTACTCAGGACAGTGGAGGGAATAGCTGTGGTGCTGACCCATGCCTTGGTTTTAAATTTGGAGTTATCTACCACTGAGCTCATAGAGTTTAGGCTGGTAATAGGGTCTTCAAGGATATTGGAAGATGTGCTCAGAGAGACATGTGTGTCCACTGTGGTCCCTCCAGTAGAGCCATGCCACACAGAGAAATCCATTCCAGTGGTCTTTGAAATCAGTTCTGGACTGCTTTGCTGACCATTTCCTGTGGTGCTTCTAGCAGTTGGTGACTCTAGGAAGACAGAGGATGTTGTGGCCAGTGACTGCCTGGTCCCTCCTGGAGTTCCAGAATAAAGGTTGGTCCAAGCCTCGGGTGGGGATGGGGAGAGTGAGACCCTGTCTGTAGCCACCATGTTTTTTATTGCTGACTTGATTGGTGATGTGGCTCCTGTGGGCAGATGAGAGAGGCTGGTGCTACCACTTCCAACATCTGTGGACTGCAGGGTGGCTGGTTCCACTGTGGTCTCCATGGGAACGGCTGTTTCTGGAGTCTTCCAAGGAGAGTTGCTCACAGTGGACTTGATCTCTGGGCTGATGCTGGGTTCCTTGGAGCTCATGGTTTTGAGGGCTGTAGACATTTCTGGGCGTCCTGGGGATGTGCCTGTGATTAGAAAGTGAGTCGGTGGGGTATCTGCAAGTGGTACAGAAGATGAAGCTTTTTTTTTGTTTGACACTGTCATTATTACCTCCTGGAATTTCAATTAAAACTATTTCCTCCTTCAATGGGAAAGAAAATGTTAAGCTTTTAATTCTCACACTTTAAGCCTCTGAACACCAGGGTAATATAGTAAACATTCCAAGGGAGATGGTGAAGTTAGAGCTTTGACCATCTGGCTTGCTTAGGAGAAACTGTCACCTGGAGCTCAGTTTTTCCCCATGCCCCATATCAAAGAGCTCTTTGTATAAGGGAGGATGTGATGATCCAGGTCTTCACCCATGAAAGAGGCCACCCCTAAACTATTTCCACTTTTCTCTTTGGAGCTTGACCTTGCTAAATCAGTTTCAGCTTAAAACGTTCAGCCTCCTCTAGGAATCCCCAAATCTTAATTCACTGTCAAGCTACTTAAGGATTTAAGAAGAAAGGGGATGGGGGAGATGAGCTCATTCTGTCTCTTCACCTTCATTTTCTTTCAAATTCATTCCTCCCTCTGAATCCTTTCCCAGTCCTTCAAGAAAATAGCAGGAGTGAGAAAAACCTGACATCCCAAGAGCACTCCTGGGGACCTTTTTTCACATTTTTCTAACTTGGCACAGCCAAGGACTTCAATCCATAATCCTTTCCTCTGTAGTAAGAAAGGCAACATTTGCCATCTAAAGTTTACCTGTGTCCTCCCTGTGAACACAGTGATGGTCTCTGATTTAGAAAGATCCTTCACTCTGGAGCAGAAGCAAGTACAGAGAGAATTGACTCTGTAGCATTCTCTCCTGCTGAATTACTTCACTATTGATCATGTAAATTAGTAAGTTGAAGCAACACAAGTGTGCAGTTAATATCTATGGGGAAAAAATGATCAATATCCTCAGAGAAGAGTGGTAAGAAATCAAAGGAACCTATTTTAAATCTAGTTATTGCAGGGTGTGGTGGTGCAAGCCTATAATCCCAGCCTTAGGGAGGCCCAAGTGGGTGAATCACTTGAGCCCAGGAGTTTGAAACCAGCCCAAGCAACATAGCAAGACCCATCTCTACAAAAAAATTTAAGAAACACACACACAATTAGCCAGGCTAATTGGCGGTGGGCACCTGAAGTTCTAGCTGCTAAGGGAGGCTGAGGTTGGAGGATCGCTTGAGCCTGGGGAGGCTGAGGCTGCAGTGAGCCATGATCATGCCTGGGCAACAGAGGGAGACCTATTTCCAAAAAAAAAAAAAAAATCCATTACCACCCCAAAAAAGTAAAAAAAAAAAAAAAATGCTGTTTAGGCTGGGCACAGGGGCTCGCACCTGTAATCCCAGCACTTTGGGAGGCTGAAGTAGGAGGATCTCTTGGAGCCAGGAGTTTAAGACCAGCTTGGGCCACAGAGTGAGACCCATCTCTACCAAAAAAAATTAAATAAAACACAATAAGCTGGGCATAGTGCAGGCCTGTAGTCCCAGCTACTCAGGAGGCTGAGGGGAGATGACAGCTTGAGCCCCGGAATTTGAGGCTGCAGTGAGTACAGTGAGTACTGCAGTGAGTACACACCACCGCACCCCAGCCTGGGTGACAGAATGAGACCCTGTCTCAAAAATAAAAGAAACAAAGAAGGAGAGAAAGGGAAGGGAAGGGGAGGGGAGGGAGGGGGAGCGGTAGGAGGAGGGGAAGAAGAAGAGGAGAGAGGGCGGGCGAGAAGGAGAGGAGGGGAGAGGAAGGAAAAGAAAAGTTGCTATCAATTTACTTATAAAATAATGAAACTGAAGCCTTGTATATTTTTTCTTCCCAGAATCAATAGGCAGCACTTCTATTTAGCAGCAAGCTATCCTCCCACCTCACCCTTATGAATAGCTGAGACTACAGGACTGCACTATGCTCAGCTTACAGGTTTTTAAAAATTATTTTTATAGAGATGGGGTCTCACTATGTGGCCCAAACTGGCCTTAAGGCTTGGGTGAAAAACATAAAATTAAAAAATATAAAAAAATTTCATGGGGGAGGAATTTCAAAAGAATGAGAACAAAAAAAAAAAAAAAAAGAAGGAAGGAAGGAAGGAAAAAGGAAAGGAAAGAAAAAAGGATTGGGTGACATTGGCAGAGCAGAAATGAAACAGGATCTATATTTACCTGCTGGACTGGTCCCTGTCCCCTCTGCTAGGGAAGGCCACGTGGAATTTCCTTGTGCTGGCTGGCTTGACATCTTTGTTTTGGGCACTAGCGTTCTATCAGTTGCTGAAAGAAAAGGGCAATAGGAAGGTTCAGCTCTCCATTATCTCAGAATGCCAGTTTATACACTTTCTCTTTCTTTCTTTCTTTCTTTCTTTCTTTCTTTCTTTCTTTCTTTCTTTCTTTCTTTCTTTCTTTCTTT